AGGTTTTGATTTTCTTTTCACGAATTTTTCGTCACGCGCGAAACTCGGCGGAAGTACTCGGAAATCCTCGCACTGCCAACAAAATTCTTTCCTCATTCTCTACTTCGGAACGTAGAAACTTCATGAGGTTGGTTAATCGATCCTTCGCGACATTTTTTTCATCTGATGACGAATATCTCTGCCAAGCTCCTTGTGGCATTGCTCAATACAAGCCCGTGTAGAAATTGAAAATAGGCTTTAATAAGGCCCTGAATAAATGCCCTTTCGCAAGTGAGGCTCAAACTAGGAAAATTCGTCAGGACCTGTCTAATTTCGTCACGCTTGGACTATCAGGTGATGATGTGGAAAAATAGAGAGGTTCTAACTAGATCGCCTTGTCAGTGCCTGAGTAGAATATAAGAATGTGTGAATTCAACTAGAGGCATTCTAGTCAGGGCCTGATTGAAATATTTAATAGGGACATAAATAGATCCAGTTAGATTTCCCTATCTGAAAAATAGGGCATTCTAGTCAGAGCCCGATTATCACCTATCTAGAAATTTCTAGTGTGGTTGGCCTTACTAATTCCTCATCAGCGCCCCTTTTCAAATAAGGCGAAGTAGGAAAATTTCTACACGGGAGCTCAAGGAGCGCTCTCACATATATTTCCACTAACATCTCTTCCTTTCCAAACCGTGATTGCAGTGCCGTAATAACTTTTTCGTAGTTCTCACTAGTACTCGGATAACTGCTCACCAACTCGCTAGCCCTCGAATCCTTCACCATTGCCTGGATAAGATATTGGAATTTGTCGCCTTTGTCCATAGAATCATCTTCGTGGATTTTTTTAAACTGTGCCCAAAACCTAAGCCACTCGCGAACATCGCCACTGAATATCGTTAATTCAATTTTCGAAAGTATGAATGATCGCTTTCCCTCCCCACTACCGCAACTTCTTCTTCTTCTTGTTTTAATGGCCTCTTGTTTAACAAATAGCCAGTACAATTAATGTTATATAGTAGGGTGAAATGTATGGTAGTTGTAGATAGGTTATTCCGGTGTGTAGATTTGCCACAGTTGTTTCTAGTGGTTCAGTGTTTATCAGCTGTAGTCAGTAGTGATGCACTGCATTATCCTGGTGTGATATTGTTGATTACAGGAAAAGCAAATAATTTTTAAAAAAATGACACTTGTTGCTGAGGATCCTCCTTTTATTTTGAAGCTTCCAGTTTCTCCTTTTTGTTTGGAAATAATTCGTTGCTCGTAATGTGAGTTTGATAATTTTGAATTCTTCGCGTGGGAAATCGGAGCAGCTTGGATAAAACTCCATTAATTTAATCCACAGATTAGATCACTTACTGTTTATTATTGATTAATAAAACCAATTTAGTGGTGTTAAAAAACCACATGCAAATTCACTGAACAAACACAAAGTTAGTTAAAAGCACTTAAATAACAGTTAATTACAGTTATAACACATGTATATTCGAAGAAGGCTCAAACGAGACCCACTACCGCAACACGATAGGACCGATACGCGTCCCGACGTTTCGTTTGTCTGTGTCTGTGTAGGAACTGGCGGGAACAATACTCTCATTACTTCTGCTCGTGCGCGAAAGAATTTCGCTTTGTATCCATCAACGCTATTAACCTCTGCTGCGATCTCACTTTCAACCATCTTGGCTTTGATCATATGCTCGAAAATGAATTTGTTGTAGGATTCTAATTCTCGGATTTTTTCTTCTAATAGGTCTAAACATGACTTCATCTCTCCAGGTTGGATATTTTCCGCTTTAAGATGTCGTTCTAGAGTAGTCATATTTCTTGTAAATGATGCGCGTATCACTGCACGTGCCGCTTTGTGTTCGTCCATTTTGGATAGTTACCTTTTTAAAACCGTTTCACAAATTTATACCACGGATACACTCAGTGTCCTGTCACGGTCGCCACTAATGTTATAAACAATGAGAAAGGTATCCGTACACGGAAAAAAAAGTACGTGAAATTTTCATTGACTCGGTACTTGACTTTTGGATACGACACAAAATACACGGAAAAAATTAATTTAGTACATTTTACGAAACTAATTTTGGAATAGCGGATACGGAGAGGAGTTTAGTATAAGATAAAACAGAATCAATAGTAATATATGATGACTGCGTTTCTCGAAAACTCAAAAAAAATTCTATGGAATTCACAAATGATCGGTTGGACGTTCTAATTCAAGAGTTTTGTAAAATGTTTAGCCTGAAGCGCATGCGCCACGGAAAAAAATATTCACGGAGAAAAAAACGAATAAAGCAGAAAAAAGAATTTCTTAATGTACCAATGAGCTCTCAAGACCATTTTTTCTCGTCTTCTATAGGAGATAGATGATTGGTTCGACACATGTGACTGCCCTCTACAACGCAATGGTTCGCTTGGATTGGCTTATTTTATTCTGACACTAACTTAACGGAAATACGCATACATATAAACGAATTCTGACGCAACGCACATACAATATAACTCGCACTTGTAGATGAAAGAATTGAGTTTCTTTATATACTAACTGAGGAGATTAAAACTGCGCTTGTGAGAAATGTCAATATACTGAATATTAATTTTTAAAAAAATCATTTTTTTAAAAGTTATACAAAATATTTTATGGTTTTTAAAATAACATTTTTTGATTATAATTAGTTATAAAATCTCTATAAAATTTTTCAATTTTTAGAAAATAATTTTATTCTTAATTTTAAATTATAAATAAATTGACAAAAAATTTTCAAAATTAAATTCAAACTCAAAAAATGTTTATATTAAATTGTCTAAAATTTGAAGTAATAACAGTTAAAACTTGAGAAATTAATATATATATTGTCATCGGTAAATATTATGATAAACTATAAAATTTATTGGACTGTAAATTAAAAGAAATTAATAATAATTAAAAGTTTGGATTACAAAAGCACATAAAAAATGTTACGAATTTGGAACAATGAAATGTGAAATACGTAAAAGAAAACAATTATCCAAATGTTACCGGCAGGTAAAGCAGTTCTCTTTTTCCTTCCACATATTATATCTATATACAGCAGACAAGTTAATACCGACGCGACGAGACAAGCTTCAACATATCTATTTATAACGCGACTTTTGGTACACCCCGTATAGAATTTTACGAAACTTTGTGTTCGAGAATTCACGATAGACAGCGAAGTGGAAACTCAAACCACGCGTTTTTAGATTGCACGAAACATTTTTACCATTTTCTGATAAAATGTTCACCAGAAAATACGAAACATTTCTACATTCAAGCTTGTTTTATAAATTACAACACTGGTTGCAGTTTCTCGACAATTGTTCTGCTTAAAGTAGTGAAAGTTTCTGGGTTTTTGAAAAACTTCGTCTAGGAATCTTAAATATCCGCTAGTGCGAAATTAGTTTCGTAAAATCTGCTGAACTTATTTTTTCCGTGTACTAAAAACAGTCTAGTACTTTTGCATGAGAGTTTCAAAAGCAGTCAATGAAAATTTCTAGTACCTTGCTTGAGAATTTTATTGACTTTCAAAAAAATTGTAAAATAAAAAAAATAATTTCCACTTGTTCACACAGTTTTTCTGAAATTCACTCATTCATTCACATATTTGGATAATTAATCACACAAACAAAGAAGAATTATTGTATCACTTTTCGACGTTCGTCAACACTTATGAACTAACCTATAACACACACATATATTCGCGTATAACTTAAATATAAACACACACTTAACACTTAAAAGTACGTATCGAATTGTTCTTATATACCACATGGTGAAATTTTTCACGACTTCTGAGATATGCTATTTCACTGAAAACTGAGACTTACATAACATTCTGTTTTGTGAGAAACACAAAATAAAAAATATTTTTTTGAAAGTCAATTCTTGAAGACAAATATATATTAACACTATTTGTTTTTCATAAAATAATAGTATATTCACATCTAAAATTAACACAAATGGAAACAGACGATCAGCTGGCATTTACCTTGGGTAGAAACGCGCAATGCACACTACGCATGCTCTACAGAATTTTCAAGCGCAGTCAACTAATCTTTCACGTACTTTATAAAACTGAACAAATGACTTTTCGTTAAAATTTAAAAAACACTGTTGCCCATACTAGTACTAGAATAACTCTAGGACTTTTCTATATTTTCTAATAAAAAGTATATGATACAGCCTTGTATTTTGTGTCCTATCCAAAAGTCAAGCACTTTCAAGGAAGGATTCACGTACTTTTTTTTCCGTGTAGGAAGTGTTTTGGTAAAAAAGGACTTTACACTCATAAACTCAAAATGCAATTTATTATAAATCAGAACTTGTTACAAGAATTTACGTCTCACTTGGAGCCCGGTCAAATGACTACTAATTCAATAATGTCTCTTAAAATGAGACATTATTTTATATACTCCTTTTTATATACGTCACAATTATCAAAGCTAATTCCCATTAAAATTTAAAACTCTACTAGCAATCATAACACTCAGAGTCAATATTTCTTCGAATGCTGATCCGAACAATTTGGTAATTATTGAATCTTCGTTTGCAATTACAATCTTTTAATACTCGCGTTTTAAGAGTACTTTTGTATTATTCACTTAATAAAGCAGTTTGAACATGAAATTATTTGATATATTCTTTTTGAGACGGATTTGTGACAAAGAAAAATACCCTCCCTTGAAGGCTTAACTTTCAGGACGGTTTGAGGGTAGATAAAGGACACCAAAAAAGGGTTGTGGGTTTAGTGTGTCAGGACTGGTAGTAAACCACCAGTTATTCTAGTCGTATTGTTATTTTTATTCTATTTTTCTCAAATTACTTTTTTATATACCTATCTAACATAATCTTAAAATGTGGAATCCAAGGTATCTGTAATAGTGTAATCAAATTTCCCAAAATTTTCTAATCAATAATAAATTATTGAATATTATATAAAATAACACTTACGAATATTTACATGCAGCCATAAGTAGAGAGAGATCGATTTTTCTAGTTTTATTTTCAGATTCATGTGGTTCATGATCAAGGTGACATTTGGAGAGCACGACAGGTGTTTCGATAAAGTTCAACCGGAAACTAGATATGTTGTAAGAACACTAAGTGGAGATTTCAGTTTTTTGAATTTCGACAATGACATTGCTCTACTTAGACTCAATGACAGGGTACCACTTTCCGAAACAATTCGACCAATTTGTCTACCAACGACAAAAAGTGAGTAACATATGGAATTCATTACATAATTAACCAAATCTTTATAAAATACTGGAGACTTAATAATTTTTTTAATTTTCTTAATTTTTCTCTAATTTCTAAATATTTTTCTAATATTTCATATTATAAAATATATTTAAAATTTTTTCTTTCTTATCATAGAATTCTAATTAATATTCTCAGCCAATTGTTACTGAACATTGTTTTATCTCATTTTATAAATAATGTATAAATATTTATACGGGCTCTTGTAACAATATAGATAATGACTACATTGGTATCCAAGCCATGGCTTCCGGATGGGGAACCTTACACGAGGAAGGAAAACCTTCTTGTTTATTGCAAAAAGTAGAAATTCCTGTAATGAGCCTTCAAGATTGTCGAAACACCAGTTACAGTCCACGAATGATTTCCGATAATATGCTCTGTGCAGGATATCCACAAGGTCTCAAGGATTCTTGTCAGGTAATAAAAAAAAATTGTACCAATTTTCACACAAAGAAAAATAAATAATATATAACACAGCAATATTACGACATTGCTCAAATATCACATTACTTAATAATAATTTCAAAAATTATTATTACAAAGAATATTTTTAAATAGATATACCAACATTATACCTTGACAGTAACAATCAATTTAATAAATAAAACAATAATTTTACCTGTCTACTTAATAGAATAGAATTTATACGCATAATAAATGTAATTGATGATAATATCATATTATTTTGACAATTAAGGTTAATATTTTATTTTTAGGGTGATAGTGGAGGACCTCTGATTGCCGAGAGGGAAGATAAAAAATATGAAATAATTGGAGTCGTATCCTGGGGAAATGGATGCGCTCGGCCTGGTTATCCTGGAGTTTACACACGAGTTACGAGGTATCTAGACTGGATTCTGGAAAATACAAAAGAAAGCTGCTTTTGTGACACATAGTACCTATTGTTTCGTATATTTAAAACAGCTATTTTTTGATGAAAAAAAGTGAGGAAAAAAATTGAAGTTTAAAAACAAAAATATTCAATTTAAATGTGATTTATTTGGGGCAACTAATTTTAATTTTTAATAAAACTTCTATATATATAAGCATCTAAGAATTTTGACTGAATAATAAAAATATAAATAATTAAGTTATTCTTAAACTTAAAACAACAAAAAATTGTAATATTTATTAATATTATTCTTAAATAAATTGTCATTAGTAAAGATGATTGTATTTTTATATCATTTGTATAAATTGGATATTATTTAATTATAATAAATTATTTAATAATTAATAAAGAAGTTTACTCTCGTAATTAAAAAATCCCCTTAAAATTAAAATTTCTTTAGAAATAATTGTGTCATATTTTATATTATTCGAGAATAATTTTATTAAACAAAAATTACATTTATATCTCGCTTTGATAATTTATAAGAAAGTGACTAATTTTTTGCATTAGAAAAATTGACATAAAATTTAAATCTATATTTATAATGGAATCTTATAATTAAGAATAAGAAAAAAAATAAGAAAAATGTATTTTAAACGCCTACTGATGTTGGGTAACGGGACAAACGGTCCATAAGGTCAGCGACTGGCCGCAATAGATGCAAAACGAAATCGCAAAATATAAATGGTGTCAGTTATATTATAAATATGAAATAAGTGTCAGTTTATATCATCACGAAAGCGGAACCTCGATTATGTGCAAAGAACTCATCAAAGTTTTTACGCTATAATATGCGGGCTAAACAAACTTTTTCCACGGCGCCAGTATTCATCAAGCAGTCAAGAGAAAAGTCATGACATTACAAGACATTATTAAGTTTCTTCTTTGTATCATTTTATTTCATCAATTTGAATCATTTGCGAAAGAAAATTTTCCCAATGGAATAGTAAGTTTATTGAATAAATAATACTAAAAAAATTTTAATATAAAAAATTTTTTCTCTAATTTCTAAATGTATTTTAATTTCAAAATTTTTTTATATTAACATTGATATTTAAATATCTCACGCACACAATTTTTATTTAACATTTAAAAAATTCTAACCGAATAATTTAATAGCGAATCTTTTTTGACGTTTCCGCTTTATATTAAGTGTATAAAATGTTTTTAATTTTAAGAAAAAGGAAATAGCTTCAGTAAGAGCAGATCGGGCTTTTCTGGATTTCTTACTGGGAAGAGCTAATTTATGCGGAGTTTGTTGTAAGTAATTGAAAATTTCACTAACTGAAAATGGAAATATCGGGATTTTTTTCAATTTAAATTCTCATTTCAGTATGTGGACGCTCCAATAAATATGGTGCAAGGTTTTTGGGCGGTGAATATACAGAATCACACGAATTTCCCTGGCTTGCAAATATTCTAATTAAATCAAACATTCTCATCAGTGGAGTTTTGATTAATAATCACTATGTTTTAACCGCAGCCAGTCCGCTTATTGAGTATGTTGAAAACTTAATATTCCCATTAATTAATTATGAAAATATTTAGTAAAATGATATTTTACTAAATAATGTTTTTTCTTTAAAAAAAAAACTATTTTTCATTAAAAAAAACAAATTTTCAAAATACAAAAACATTTTAGTTCTACACCACCGGAAGTAAAAGTCTCTTTAGGAGAATATGATCGATGCAACTTGGATATTTCATCAATAAATATAAGTGTTGAACACATATACATACATCCGCAATTTAATCTTGAGTCAAAAGCTCATGATTTGGCTTTAATTCGATTTAGTCGTTCTATTAAATTTGAGAAGAGAATCTCTCCTGTTTGCCTACCAAATGCAGGTTTGTTTTCTTATAACACTATATAAAAATAAGAGTAGTTTTAGGAAAGAATAAAATATTTATTTTCTTAGAAAAAGTAAATTATTAACAATACACTGCAAAAACTAGTATCTCACTCGTCTCTTAAAATGAGTTGCTTTAAGTGTTTAAACCATTGAGATACAAAATCTGTTTTATATTGAGACATTTAACTTCATCTCGTGTCTCATTTTAAACATTAAAGGTGACTCAATGCGTATAAGACACATAAAATGTCTTCTTACTCTGAGACGGATACTCAAAACACGTGTCTCAAAATGAAGTGCTAAAAGTGTGAGACATTTTATAACGTTTTAAAGTGAGACACATAATATCTGTTTCAAATATATATAATAATTAAAGACATCTATGTGTTTCAAATATGAGGACAAAACGTCTCAAAATGAGACACTTGTTTTTGCAGTGTAATAGTTATGGTCCAATATGTAAGAATCATTTTATTTTCATAGCACTTCTATGGTATATTATTATATATGATTATATATTATTTACTTCTTGTTATCTTGCACCGCACTTAAAACAAGCAGCCGATTTCCTGGACTCCGGCATACTCAGTAAGGCAATTCAGTTCGCGGATCTCCAGTATTAGGGGAGCGTGGGATAATGAGAGCTTGCGGGTAATGGGAGCTTTTAAATTTCACGCACTTAAAAGCCTTCAAATTCGCTGCAATGTCTAGAAAATCTTCTACAACCTTTGTTTATATCATTCCAAAACAAACGATTACATTCTTGACAAATTTTTAGTAAAGACAAAGGAAAATGTATTTTTTGAGTTTTCGTTGTAAAATGCCAAAAATTTCTAAACATCACCATAAGTAGTTAAAATCGTATTATTTAGTTCTGTTTTTTCATTATATTATAGGTGAATATGTGTAGATATGTATACTTGTATAAAAATCGAGATAATAATAAAATTTGTTTTTGTTTTTATTTTTTTATTCAAATTTTGGCCTGTAAGAATTCTGTGGGGTAATGGGAGAAATAGTGTCAGCCCAAAGAATGTTCGTTACTATGTTGCGGATTTCGTTATTTCTTTGAAAATTGTAAAAGATATCACCTAATGAACAAACTTTTAATTAAAAAATAATTTTTGGTGGGAAAAATGAAAAATTTAATATTTTTTCAAAAATTTTTTATTCAATTATAATTTAGGAAAAAATTTATTCTAAGTCTAAAGTTTTGGCTTTATTGTAAGTATTAACACTTTTTTCTATTGGAAAACAAAAAATATTCCTAAAATATAGAAATTTTTTAAACTTCAAGTGAAAGCTCCCATTACCCCACAAATTGGGTGATCGCAAAAAATGTATTTTTTTGAAAAATTTTTTTTTACAATTTACTTTTTCTTTTTAAGTTTCTAATTAAACATAATTAAAGATAAATAACGAAATGAGTAGGAAATAACGAAAACAATGTATTATTATAAAGATAAGTTGGTTTTTTTAATCATTTTCCTTAAGGGGCTCCAATTCCCCCACGCTCCCCTACCTCTGAATTTGCTATCTTTACTTAATCGAGTTCTACCCTGTCGACCCAACCAAAAGACAATTTAATAGTCCGCGTAAAAAAATGTTGGCTACCTCAAGGCTCACTTGAGGCTCAAGACTTGCTTGAAGCTAAAACCTTGTCTAAAACTTAGGACTGAACTTAGACATAAGACTCGCTTAAGGGTCAATGTTTACTTAAGGCTTAAGACTTGTTTGTAGCTAAACACTCGTCCAAAACTTAAGACTGCAAAACTTATATCCAAAAACTTAGACATAAGCTCGCTCACAGCTCAAGGCTCACTTAAAACTTACTTGTTTAAAGCTGAAAATTCGTCTACGATATAAGATTGGCATAAGACGTTTAAGACTCGATTAAGGCTCATTTCTTACCTTAGACTCAAGATTTGTTTGAAGCTAGAAACTTGTCTAAAACATAAAACTTGATTAAGGCTCAAGGTTCAAAACTTGTTTAAAATTAAAAAGTCGTCTAAAAATGCGTCTATGACATAAGATTGGCCTGAGACATTTAATGCTTATTTTAGGCTCAAGGCACACTGATGGGTCAAGACTTGATTCAAGCTAAAAAGTCGTTAATGCTTTGAGACTTACCTAAATCTTAAGAAATGTTTTAGAACAATGTAAGGTCATAAGCAAAGTTAAATCTCTAGATAAGCCTTAAACAAGTTTTACATCTTAGACCAATCTGAAATCTTGCGGACGATATTTCAGGTTCAAGCAACTCTCTATCCTTAAGCTAGTCTTAAGCTTTAGACGAATGTTTTAGCTTCAAAAAATGTTTAGCCTTAAGTGAGCCTTAAGGGAGCCTCATCTTTTAGTTTAGTCATAAGTCTTAGATGAATTTTTATTTTTTAGCTTCAAACAAGTCTTGAGCTTCAAGTGAGCCTTGAGCCTTATGCCTAAGTTGAGTCTTTAGTTTTAGACGAGATTTTAACTTCAAACAAGACTTAAGGTTTAAGTGAGCCTTACATCTAAGTACAGTCCTAAGTTTTAGACGAGCTTCAAACAAGCCTTCAGCCTTAAGCGAGCCTTATGTATAAGTTCAGTCCTAAGTTTTAGACAAGGGTTTATCAAGTAGATAAATAAAGGTTTAAACAAGTCTTGAGCTTTAAGTTTTAGACGAGTTTTAAGCTTCAAACAAGTCTTGAGCCTTATGTCTAAGTTCAGTCCCAAGTTTTAGACAATTTTTTAGCGCCAAACAAGACTTAAGTGAGCTTTGAGCGAGCCTTATGTCTAAGTTTAGTCTTAAGTTTTAGACGAGTTTTTAACTTCAAACAAGTCTTGAGCTTTAAGTAACCCTTGAGCATTAAGTGAGCCTTGAGGTATCCTTGAGGTATCCTTCAGTTAGCCTTGTGGTAGCTTTGAGGAAGCCAACATTTTTTTACGTGGGAGGTTTTTTCTCCTGCTTCTTCTTCTCTTTTGAGACACCAAAACGATGTTTCTCATCGCAATTGCGTTAAAATGGTACTTTCTGACTCTCCTGTCCGTGCTTATTTAGACCTGACCAATCCTTGATAGAGACGCCCGTCTTTCTCCTTCGCTTCCACGTACTTGGGTCTTATTTCCTGAATGAGCGCTATAAGTATTTTAAGACCCTCCATAATTGTCATGTTGACATTCTTCTGCACTTCGCAGGACTTCAGCATTTTGCTGACCTCCTCTGCAATTCTACAAATAGATCCTGCCTTTTTATCCCACAGCTTAATGCGTTTATCATTATCTTCGTTGCAGCTTGCGATATCAAGTTCAGATGCATTACTGAATACAGACCTGCAAGTGTCCTAACTCGTTACACTACTTGCACTTCCTCGTTTTTCTACCCTCTCCAAGATAATTCTTGGAATTAACAACGCGTTGTTGCCATCCTGTATCATTCAACCACTGCACTGGCCACCGCCCTCGCGCTAAGCACTTGACAATTGGAACCAATGAGGAATTCAGCCAAAGCATTACTCCGCAGAAACTCCTCACTTTTACAATCGCTTATTATCATCCTCTTGTTTTATGTTGTCCTTTAGTGCAATGCTCCGTTATACCACGAGAAGGTCTACCGAACATATCCATTATGTTAGTCATATTTGTCAGTGAACAAGCACTGCCCAACATATCGATGACATCTATTATGTCATGATTTTAGTCCATCTTTGATTGTCATATTGAAATTCTTCTGGACTTTACAAGATTTTAGCCTTTTGCTGACCTCTTCTTCTAATTGCAATATGCATGCTGCCTCCTCCTCCTACAGCTTTATTGAGCTGTTCCAGTCTTTATTTCTAGAAGCGATATCTGCTTCAGAAGAGTTACTGAAAACAGAAGTACAGCTGGCTCGATTCGTCACTCAGCTCGTCTTCCTGGTCTCTCTATCTTATCAACAATAATCTGTCTTACTACCAAAGCGTTGTTGCAGGTATTTTTCTATGTTTTTACAATCGCTCATAATTTATGCGTTTGTTCCATATCAAGGGCCGATTAAGCCTTAACAGGCAACCTGGCAAGATAAGTCCTGAATCGCCTCGGCGTAGTTTAATAAGGTGTATTAACCTGTTATTTCATTTGTACTCTAATTATATATGATTAGAACGAGATGTATTTTGATTTTTTACATTATCTTTCTGTTTTACTAATCGTTTTAAAGACTAATCGTCGTTCTAACAGTAGCGTTAATTGTTCCGATAATGCCAGTATAGGTGTTATATCAGAAACTTGTTAATCGTACATCTTCTGACTACGCCTACGCAGATCCAAATTGCGGTACACGGAAAAACCTTTAAGCAGTCTGCTCACCCAAAACTTATGCGTCAGCGCCACCACTAAACTTGTTCATCTGCACTCCCAAACTGGGTGACCCACGTACCCAGTTGTCATTTTCTAAACTTTTTGGGTAGTTTGTCTATCAAAAACGGTAACGCTACGCACCCATAGTGGCGGGCGATCAGACTTTCCGCTTCACTGACGTCCAATATCCAGAAATTGACGAGATTTATGTTGGATCGTTTCTCAATGTCACTCCTCATCATCGTTGACAAAACATCTGCAAAATCCGCAAAAAATTACTAGTCTGGTTATTTAAATGTCCGCATCGTAAACAATTCCTTTTTTGTCGTTTCCTGTCCATTACATAATTATCAATAATGCAATATTTCATGAATTGAAATGTTTTAACTACCAAATAACTCATTTTCTAGCATCAACGTACACGAATCAGGTTGGAACAGTGAGTGGATGGACTGTAAGTACAACATTGGAGGAATCGAATAATCGAACTTGTAGACCCCGGAAAATGGGTCTTCCGATAATGGGAAACAATGAATGCATAAAATCTGGAATTAATTTTACAAGGTTTCATGATGATTCGGGTTGTATTGGAATAGTTGGAGGAAATTCAATAATCTGCAATGTAAGAATGTATTGCTCTGCTTTATTAATTTTTATATTCACAATTCAATAATAATAAGTATCCTTTAAAATTTAAATAATAATAATAATAATAATGAAAATAATAATAAAAAATTTTAATAATTCCTTTCCTAGAATGACGCCGGAACTTCTGTGCTTTATAAATCTTATTTCCAGACTTATGATATTATTGGTAAGTCTATATATACCCCCTTAATTAAAGAATTTTGCATATATTTTATTGAAAACAATTTTTTATAAATCAGAGCATGTATTTATTAATCAATTTAGAAACTTTCAAAATATCCTGTATCTGTATTATAAATTATTTTACAAAAAAGAAATTATCTGTTTATATATCTAACAGGTATTTTTTCTGATGTGAATGAATGCAATGGTGCACCGAGAGCAGGAGTTTACACAAGAATAGGCCCGCATCTGGATTGGATTTTGCAACAAACGAAAGATGCATGTTATTGTTTAAGATAATACAATTACAATTTTTATAAACAATTTTCATTATTTTAATAATTAAATTGGGGTTTAACATAATTTATAAACAAAAACATTTTCTGTATCAAAAATTGTAAACAACAATATATAAAAACAAACATGTAATAAAATTATAAGTATAAAGTATAAAACACCAAATTTCTATTCTTATAATTCGAATTTAAATTTACCAAAACAATTTAAAAATATACATCTGCATATTTAACCTGATTTCTTATATTATACAACATCTATATTATCAATTTTCTATATCAAGTCTTGTTATGAAGATAAAGTATCGAAATATGTATTTATGCAAAGGTATAACGTTAACTTGCATTGACATTGGAGTGCGTTTACTAAGAACCTTCTTCTTCTTCTTAAATGACTTCAGGCTTAGCCAACTGTCAGAACAACAGCCAACTATCAGAGCAACTACAGTGAGTTCTCGCGAGTCGTTCAACTCACGAGTCTTTTTTTTTTTTGTTGGTTACATGGCTTGTTGCATAGCAGGTAGCCAAAACACGAGACACTAAAAGTTCTTGGCGGGAAACTTCAAATTAATCCCTTAATATAAGAATGTCATTAGACGATGTAAGTTGAAATACTTGAAAGTGAAATGCAATCACGTAAATAAATTGTTGAAATCAAGAAAGCAATGATGTCCTTTTTCTTTTCACTCCTTATGTCCTTTCAATGAGTATGAACGATGTTGTAGTGTTATGCTACATCTGGATAAATAGGAAAGGAAAAAATCAAAGAGGAAACTCACAATGATAGGAAAAGCAATAAAATCATTTTCGCACCAAAATCAAACAATCAAAGCAAAAAGAATCAAAATAAAAAAAAAGCAAACATGCATAAACATCTTTTTCCCATTATTGATTAAATGGGAAAAAGATTTAAAAAAATAAAAATAAAGAACAAATCAAAATTTCTCTCTTTCTCTTCAATTCATTAGCTCTAATTTCCTTAATATAAAATTGAAACCATTAACCCTCAATCCTACGATTACTCTTCAGAATATAATTAGATAATTACGCCCCCAGATTGAAAAAATTTGTTAAGCTTCATAATATATTCTCTATTTGGAAAAAAAGATTTCTCATATAGATCAAAATCTTCGGGATTAAAATCCGAGAATTTAATAGATAAAAAACTGAAAAATTCCGGTCTTCCATCTGAAAGCAAAGGACATTCGTAAAACAGATGTTTTAAACTTTTAAAATCTGCACCACATTGACATCCTAAATCAATATTCCACCTCATTCTATTGAAGTGCTCAGCAGTACATACATGAGAAGTCCTCAGTCTTGTGATCATATTTATTGCTCTTCTTGGAGCTTCAAAACCCTGAAACCATGGTCTTTTGTCCTTGAAACCAATTTTGTCAAAGTACATAACAGCAGAGTTAAGCTTTCTTTCATGAGGCCATAAAGTTTTATACCAGCTATAATAATCCTTGAAAAGAATTTCTTTAAAATCACAGATCGGAACACCATCGCTCCTTCCGATTTCAAGAGATAAAGATAATTTAGCCAGTCTATCAGCTTCCGAATTACCGTGTATTCCTGAATGAGAAGGAACCCATAGGAAACTTATATTCTTACCTATACGAGAAAGAAAAATAACCTGTTTAACTATACGCACAGCCATAGGGTGAGAATTTCTGGACCAAAAAATATCCTGAAGACTTTGCAGAGCTGAACGGGAATCGCTGATAATGACTATGTTAAAAAAATTGGATAAGGTAACATATTTTAAAGCTTCTATAATGGCCAAAAATTCAGAGGAAATAATTGACAACAATCCATTCAGTTTAATTCCAAATCTAAAATTTTGTGAAGGAACATAAAATGCTGAGCCAGAAGATTTGTCTTGATCATCATGAGAACCATCTGTGAATATTGTAATTTGATCCTTATATTTATCATCAAGGAGATTATTCAGGAGGGTATTCGAGTTTTGTTTATTCTTAAGCGTCAATCCATCATGAATATTGATATGTATTTCATGATTCAATTCTTCCCAACTGCAATCAAAATTTGCCACCTTTCTATTACGAGGAGCTGATCCCAATAAGTTACGTATTCTAATAAAAGGAGTAAAAAAAGATAACTTCTCAAAATTAAAGGAGTGATATTTTCTGATTTTCGAAGATTCGAGTAATAATTGCAATCTAGGAATTAAGGGATTACCAGTCCAAGAATAACATCTGAGCAAGAATCTGTCACACAACATTGATCTCCTCAGATATAGAGGAGGCTCATCACATTCTGATAGTAGAATACTAATGGGGGTTGAAACCATACATCCCATGACAATCCTTAGAGCCGAATATTGAACTCTGTCCAAAAGTTTCAGATGAGACGGACATGCGCTCAAAAATAAAGAAGAGCCCCACTCCAAATGAGCTCGAATAAGACCTCTATACGCGAGAAGAAGAGATGATGGGTGAGCACCCCAAGAAACCCTGGACATAGCCTTTAAAATATTCAGAGCTAAATTTGCTCTAGAAACCAAATACTTGATGTGAGGCAACCAAGAAAGTTTCTTGTCGAGAATGATTCCCAGATATAAAATAGTATTTAAAGCAGTAATAGTGTGATCACCAATTACCAGTTTGATATCAGAAGCATTAAGACGAGATCTTGAGAACAATACCAATTGGCATTTCGGAATTGAAATAGACAAACCATAATCCTTCAACCAATCAGACAGTATAGTAACAGAGCTGTTCAATAATTCCAAAGCTTCTTCAATTGAATTGAATCTAACGTAAATGAGAAGGTCATCTGCATACATAGCAGCCTTGACTCCGACTGGAAGTTGATTGAACAAATTTCTCAAGTTAACGTTGAACAGCAAAGGGGACAATACACCTCCCTGGGGGACACCGACACCGCAGATCGCAGGGTTATTCAGATCATTCTGAAAAAAAAGATTCCTTTTCGAAATTAAAAAACAAACGAAATTATAAATTTTAGAGGGAGTCTTCAACTCTCTTAAATGTTGTAAAACAGTGGAAGGGAGAACATTATTAAAGGCTCCCTTGATGTCAATTGCCAAAGCCAGCGTACTTTCCTTTCTGACAAAACCTTGGTTAATGTCCGTAACCACTGCAGAAACACAATCGAGAACAGATCTCCCCTTACGGAAACCATATTGAGATGAAGGAATCCAATTTCCCGATTCCGCAAGATACTCAAGGCGGCGCTGGATAAGTTTCTCAAATAACTTGCAAAAAGTAGAAGTCAGGGAGATAGGGCGAAAGCCCTTGCCCCCTGGTTTCGGAATAAAAAGAACCTTGGTGTCTCTCCAACCTTTAGGAAAAATCGATTTAGAAAACATAAGATTAAACAAATTGTGGATAAATTCCAACGCACGTTTTGGCAAATTCGTGATTATTTCATATGTAAAGCCGTCAAGACCTGAAGCAGAATTCTTTTTACAAGTCAATAGAGCTGACGTAAATTCCCTCTCAGAAAAAGGCAAATTGAAGGAAACAGGACCCTCATTGTCCTGATCCGAAATCAAAGGATGGTCAACTGGAGCAACATCCGAGTGAATAATTTCATTTCGAAGAGTCTGCAGAGTGTCAGAATCCGGATCATTCGAGACATTAGTTCTCTTAGGTGAATTTCTATTTTGGAATGATCTAACCGCTTTCCAAGTACTATTAGGACCAGAAGGAGAAGGACAAATATTATTGCAAAAAGCAATAAATGAGTCCTTCTTCTTCCTCCTCAGGAACCATTTCACCTCGTTATCCACATCTTTAAAATTATTCCTAGATTCTAGAGTCTGATTACTAAGCCATGACTTCCTTGCCTCCCTTCTTCGAATAATTGCACCCTCACACTCAGAGTCCCACCATAATGGTTCCGACTTTCTTTTGCCTTTATGATTTTTAGGTAAAAATGCACCGTTGTTCTCGAGTACAGAGATGATAAATGAAGTAAAGTCTTCATAAATCTTATCAGGAGAAATACCAGAGATTAAGGACTCTTCAAAATCACCCAAAGAAACATCGAAATCATCTCCTACCTTAGACCAGTTAACATTTTTAATATTAAGCCTATTAGAGGTTGAAACAATAAATTTTGGCTCAACATCAAAGGTAGCTAGAATCAAAAAATGATCCGAATTGTACGAATCTTCGGTGACCTCAAAAGAAGACTGAAAGATAATTGGCTCCGATACCACAATCAAGTCCAAAACATTATTTGTTCTACCCGAAGGATCAACTCTGGTAGGGATAGAATCATTTAGCGAAATAAGATTATAAGTATCAAATACTCTCGCCAGATCCAGACCTCTTGAAGAGTCATACGTGGAGCCCCACGAAAGAGAATGTGCATTAAAGTCACCACAAAGAATGACAGGGATTTGATTAGGCAAACTGTTCATTAATTTAAGCCAAACATTTAAAGGAATCTGTTTTGCAGGAGGAGCATAGATAGACAGGATCAATCTCTTACCCAACTGGGTATCTATAATCACTCCAACAACATCAAAAAATTCCGAAAAATCATCCTGAAGATGAAATGGATTTGTGATTATATTGTCCCTGACCAAAATCAATGTACCACCACCTGCCAGAGAACCATCCTTCCTATCCATTCGATATGTGTTGTATCCATAAACTTCCCAAATAGGACAATCTTTATTCAGCCAAGTTTCCGTTATAGAGAGGATATCTATTTCCCTGCGGTGAAGAAGAGCTTCAACTTCCGGTTTTTTTCTGAAAACACTCCGAGCATTCCACGTACCGATACAAAATGACCGTTTATTATTAGACATTTCAGCCAGAAATAATAAAAGGAAACAGAGCAAAAATCAAAGTAAAAGAAAAAAAAGAACAAAATAAAAATAAAAAACAAAAAAAAACAAAATTAAACAAACAAAAGACTCTTCTTCCCTATAATATAAAAAATGAAAAAAAGGCAAACAGTCAAAAGCAAAACAAAAACCAAAAAAAAAAAAATAAAAAAAAGTAGAAAAAGAACAAAAATCACACAAACTTCTCTCTTATAAGAGAAAGAAAATCAAACTCTCTATTTACTTCTTTAGAAAGAGACTGAGAATCC